GAGAATAATCCATAAAATGTGACAGCAATACCCATATCAAAGTCCTTATGCAAAAAAGATGCCAGCTAGTAATGTTCCAGCTAGTGTTAAGAAAGCAAATAATTCTTAATCATACTGTAAGCTCGGCCTTCTTGTCTTTAATCATCGTTCATTAAATTGTAACGCACAACTAGTACAATGTAAAATAGCTAGTCTGAGTAATTCAAAATATATAACCCCTCTTAGGAAAATAATTATGATATGGAAAAGAAAAGAATTTATTTATATTCTTCAGTGCTCCATTACTTTCTAGTTTGTTTTTCTTTTAAATGATGCTTATACAGCCAAACAGAAGGAAAAAAAAAGAAATATCCTTTTCCAACTTTCATGAGGACATGAGGATGTCAACCCAAGGATTTATAAGAAGAAATGAAAATCAAGAGTAGTTTTTTTCTTTTTTAAGGAGTAAGAATTTCTACTTCTTAATTAGAAGCTTGGTAGAGACAGGCAGAATAGATAGTAACAAGCCTCCAATAAAGAAATGAGCAAGAGAAGAGATATCATCATAATTTCTCCTTGATGAAGCAAAATTGTTCTTTGTACGCCACGACTTCATCAAATCGGGATCTTAGCTATTCAATTCATTAAGATACCTTCCACAGTTTTGGAAACTGTTCCAGAGTATGTTTGGAAACTTTCTTTGATGGTTATTGTTTAACCAAGCTGCATTATTTAGCTTGGCTAATTCACCCCTTCCCCCCAACTTCAGTTTTAACGCTTTCCCGTCATTAATTTATTTCCTTAAAATAAAAAGTAAAGATGTTTGGACAAGCTCTCTGTACGTACGCTGCTTGTTCTTCACTGTGCCAGAGCTATCTTTTATGAGAGATTTTCCTTTCAATGAGAAAAGACCAAATTTAACGAGCCTATTATTGTATAGATCATTAAAAAACCCCAAAACCAAAACAGAACTGTGTCTGTTGCTCTTTAGTCTTGTAGAGGACAATGGAATATAAGAATATGATGGTTTACTCTCTCCAGGGCCAAAGGAAAATAGAAACATCTCTTGGAAAATGGTATGGGTCCCATCTTAACAAGTAAGGAACAGACTGTCACAGAACTGGAGTTAACCAAAGTCTTATGGACAGAGCTCAGCACAGGCTGCCATACTACAAATCTCCTAGAAAAAAAAATATATTGGAGAAAAACCCCACAAACAAACAGCAAGAACATGATGGTATTTCAGAGATACTAAATCACTACATTTTTGGTGTCCCAAGAAGTGCTCTGTATCTTCACTGAGGTTGGCATTTGAGAACAAATTCTCAAAACTAAATTCCCTACATGCCAAGTACACTTAGAATGCTACAAGCTGCATAACTAGACTGACTTCAAACTACTTTAAGGAGAAGTAAGTACAACTACATGTCCACACATTAAAAAAAATTAAATAATTAAGATACTGTACCACTGCAACAAGTTACTCAAAAGAACTGTCTTCAGAAGAAAACAACACTATTTCAACCCTATTGTTGATGACATTATGATAGACTATTGTCTAAGTGCACAGTAATACTGAATGATCTCAAGAAATTATTTGATTTATATGGTTTATCCAGCAGCCTATAACAGCAAGTCTCTCTTTCAGTTGGGCTTACATCATTATGTACATGAATGGTTTAATCCTTACAAATGGATATAAATGTTTATCCCACAGATACAAGGATGTGAAACCGCTCTTAAAAATAACTATTTCTCTTAGAGGCTAAAACAGATCTACTACTTTGCAATACTAAGCTTTACACTGTGTTTATTAGACTCTTAAGTCCTGCAAGCTAGTATTCTAATTAGCCAGATCTCTTCTTTCAGATAGAAATCTTCTGATTTCTACTTGTCTAAGGTTCCCATTGCTTCCCATGAAAAAAAGCCTGAACCACAACCAGATTTTTCTCTTTTTCTGCTTGATACTCCAGGAATCAAACCCTTAAAAGTTAAATAACAACATCTGCCTCAATAATCTTCACAGCTTCCCAGAGCCATCAAGGGTGGCTGCCACATGTCTGAAATCAGAGACAAATGAAACAGTGGGTCTTCTTATGCTCTGGAGAAAGGCAAATGCCAGCAAGGGCTCAAGAGAAGTGTTACAAAAACGTTTGCTAAACTAAGCATTTCAGTCCTGCTCCAAAGCCAAGACCTTCAAGTTACAATGCAGGGAGCCTAGAAACATCAAACACGTGTCTGGCACAGATCTAAATCCTTGAGAGAATATTGACTGGATCTTTTCAAGGATATTAGTAACAAATTGCACTTTGTGCAAGATTCTGGGATAGATCTCTACAAGTCCTTGTCAGTAGCAATAAAACCTCCCCATAATGCAGCCTTCAAGACCCAAAAACCCAGTAGTCACTTCTAATGCTTTCTCATCCCACTTCCTTTGTTACAACTTTAAAGCTGCAATTCAAGACATGTAAAATAATGCATTTTATGCTAAATACGATAGTCTAAAATACCTCAAAGTCTACCAACAGGCATGATCAACATGACTGAATTTAAAGGTATCCTGCTTCATGGCCTAACTAATTAAAATCTGATCCACCAAATTAATTGTGTCCAACAGGTGATAAAACTCTAAATAAACCTAAAAATTAAATATTCCCGCTTCACAGAAGAGGACAGTGCAGCCTGAAACAATGTCTCATACAAAGCCTTCTCCAGACCTTTCTCAATGGACTACTGTTATCATAACATATCCATTGAGTTATGCACAAGCAGTTCATGGTTGATCTGTTTTCTAATGCAAGATTTTTACCATTTTCTCACCAGACAATGCAACTACAAATCAATTAATAAGATCCATGTGTAGCTCTTCTTTAGAACTTACTAATTTCTTAGGAAAACAACTATAAATTAGTAAATGCATGTCACTTAAACAATTAGTACTTTAGCAGATTAATTTTTTGAAAATAATTAAGTTATTTTACAATCATTCTCAAGATCTCCAAGAAACCTTCTCTCTTCTAAAACTTCTTTTATATGGTTTTAGTACATCACCTTTACTATTTCTTCTTTAAACCAAAATATTTTATCTATACATTTAAAGCTCTTCCACAGGCCTTTCAGCAGTATTCCAGTATACCTTTCCTAAAACAGGTCTGACTAGATTAAGTACAGTCTTCAAGAAGTAATGCCTTTAGTCAGTAATTTTCAGTATTCTCCATTTCTTTTAATACAGTCTACTTTTTTTTCTTTAAAGTCTTTATTGACCTTAGGCTCTTAAATCAAGCAATTCAGAATTTAACGCTCAACTGAACTTCCCGTTCAGTGTAACATGATTGCTATAATGAAGATGAAATAAAAGGAATTGTATAAGTAATGGAGAAAAGAGAAAAAGAAAAAAGGGCAGTTACTCACAGGATACTTGCAGTTTATAGGCAACACACTAACACTGATGTTAACTTGTTACTTCCACAGATCTCAAAAAGTTCTTTCTAACATGGATTATTTTACTCTCATCTAGAAGAAACATCATTCTAAACATCATTCTATATGTCTCCTACATGAAAACAGGACCAACTTTCCTACTGCTTCCCAAACCAGAAGGTCATGTCCAGGAAAGAGCACAACTATAGAAGGCTACAGCAAGGTGCTATATAGGTTCTTCTGTTCTGTAGCAGATCTTTTATTAATGCAGAAGTTCAATGTTTATAGTACCCACTGTACCTATGACCATATGCAGCAGAGAAGTCACTGCTGAAACATATCACTATCACAATCATGTCACTGAAAGAATCATAAGATAACTGAAGCTGGATATGAATTCCACTGTTATCACTTTTTCACAATTATTTCAATCTAGGTCAAAGGTGGTGGTAGCACAACTGTCAACACGACTGCAGTTGCTCCCCGCTGGTCGTTATCAGTCCATCCGTACAAACCCAAGGTAGTATTTTGGCAAAATCTCTTCAAATGTAAATAAACTTTATATCGTCTGTTCACCACTTACATTTTCCCTTTACGTTGCTTCGCTGTCAAGCAGGCTGAAAGGGGTACAGGATTTGTAAAGTTTATTTGTTGTATGTAGGCAAGGAAAGTCCTGCTGGGTTTTTTGTTTTCCTTAATGTATTTAATTGATTCCATCCTCAGTACTAGCTGCCTTTCATTATTATGCAATCACCTTCAAATTAATTTGATTATACTGAATTTGATTAAACCTCATGTAAAGCTAGCCATTCCAGTCACATCTTGCAATCCTTTAAAAAAAAAACCAAAAACAAACCAAACCAAAACCAACAAAACAAACTACCACAGAAACAAACCACTGGACAAATAACAAATAAATCACTGGATAAGTAATAAATAAATCAGACCTTGGGATGAATTTTTTCAGGAATATTTGAAAGTATTTTGTTAATCAATAGCAAAAATTTCTAACTCAAGTACTTCTGCTTACAAATAATCAACATAAAAACTGTCATCTTGCCATTGTCATACTAATTGAGAAATAAATTGCTGCTTCTTAAATGAACATTTTCCAAGGAAATCTTATGAAATGTGACTCAACATGCTAATTATGTAAAAAATTAAACCCTGTGATAAATTAAAAAAAATCCTATATACACCTATGCATAAATCCCATCAGAAACAGTCCATAACATCCAGCTTTTAGTTAATGCAGATCCGTACCACAGGCCTCACTTTGCAGCTTTGATACAAGACAATCCAATGTTACGTCATAATAGTTTTACCTAGCTAGTATCTAACTAACAAGATTTATTTGCTGTAATAGGTTAATTTAGTATAACAAGTTCAACTTGAAAAGCCCAGCTTCTAGAGCAACTAATTTAACTTCCTCTACAGGAAATACGCTTATTTGAAGGCATCACTGGTATTTTCTGTGGAAAGAACACAAGATAACCAGAAAGTGTATCTGCAATGCCTCTGTCATGATCGTATGCAATGATTCTTAAGAGAACCATACGCCAGTTTGGCACTGTAATTCAGGAAAAAAAACATTCACTTACCGCAGTGTGACTGGAAAACCTGTGGCTTGACTACCTGATTGCAGATATTGCACACTACAAGATAGAAATCATCATGAGCTGGATAATGGCCAAATAAGTGCATATCTGTGGGAAAGTTAAAAATATATACAAGAATTAGAAATTATGCTTTAAATATATATTAAGAAAAAAAAATGAAAATACTGTAGGGCCACTACTGTTATATTAATTTATACAAAGCAAATTTATACACTGCTCCATAAGAGCTTCTTACTATGTTAAAGAGTTTGGGTTTTTTTTTTCTGGGTTTCAAGGTCCTATACTAACGCTGCAGTCTCATCCCTCAGTCTCAGTCAGAACACAGGCAGCAACACTTTTGTCTTAACACTCACTGCCAAGAAGTGGAATAGGAATTTCTATACTGGTCAACTGTTGAAGCAGTAAAAGAATATATCTTCTAAAATCTCTGCGTAAAGATCCTTTTAGAAAACATGGTGCATGGGTTATGCTCCATGTTATAATATTCCAAGCTTGACTACAGACCACTAGAGAAGGTCTCTAGCTTAAAATCCAGTTACAGTAACTGAAATCAAGGATCCTACAGCTTAAAATAGAGCCAGGAATGTCATCCTTGTTTTGAACCAGATGTCATGACATGAAATTTCTGATTCTGTGCAAATGTCCCTCCTAGTTCAAATGCCTTTGCTGTTTTTTTTCCCCAACAAAAACTCTGGGAAGAGACCAAGTTGGTTAATGATGTATTTCTCGGTGATGGCATGAGGAATTTCATGAAATCAAAAGATGGGTACAGTCAGATGATGACAGGCACTTGTCTCTCTCAGCTGAAACACATAATGCAATACATGCATTCTTAGGCCATTACAAACACAGTAAAATGGGCTTAAATTACTACTGAAGGCCTTAGAGCTCTAACATTACAAGTGAGGTAACTTGTTTCACTCTGCATTGCTATACCTTAAGAACAAGCACACATACTCATCCACCACAGCTCAGCTTAGAGGGCAGAAACTCCAGTCACTTTTATGCACTTCGGTGTGATCATGTCACCACACCCAGTGCAACAAAGGTGTTGCTGCATTAGTAACCCCTTGATGAGCACTGGCTGCACAGATAGTGCTACCTCTCAGAACAGGGCAGTGACATCTTTATTTAAAGATGTCATAAAATTACATTCCAGTGTATTCAGCGGCATCCAAAATCTACTGCAGAACTTGTAAATGTGAATTCTGACTCAGACTGAAATATCAGCCTGGTGCCTTTTAAACAGAAGGAAAAAATGAGAAGACCCTCTGTGAAGACAAACATGCACAACAGCAGCCATGACTGAAACTTCAACAACTAAATTGTGCTTCTCCAATAACTACATCATACTTTCTTTAAAAATAGTGATTTCTTTCAAAAAGTGACTCAAGCAGGTAACTTATTTCATTAGTTCTTAATCAAAGCAAACACGTTGGCTCTAGAACTATTTTTATAAGTAATTTTGCCCTGGCCTGTACCACTGTGTAAGTAACATCACTGCTTACAATGGCAGTACTTGGCATGATGAAGTGCAAAGTGCCTTCAGTCCCCCAAAACCCCTAGAGGAACAGGGCATCCCTCTCATGGTAATTCAGGCAGTATCATAAGTACATCGAAAAAGGCTCATTCAAGCATCCTTGGGCAGAAACCAGCACCACCAACCTGCAAGTATTTCATAGTCTGATATAATGTGAATTGTTCCTTTATCCTGTGAAAATCAAAAGCCCCTATGTTACTGCTCATACCAGGCTACAAAATGCAGTGGAAAGGTGAACCAATCATAACCCCTTCACAATGCTAGTCTTGGACTAACCCAGCTTTTAAGTGCATTACAGTCAGATGAATGAAATCAGTACATTCAACTTAAATTTAAAAAAACAGCAGTCACGAGGTATAAACTCTTTTGGTAATTTCTCGCGGTAGTTAGTTTTATTACTGATGAAGCCAAAACTGCACAGTTAGATTAAATCAAATCCTACAAACAAACAAAAACCTAAGCACGCACTACATCCGGCTTGTTCATTTTATTTCTTGTTTTAATGTGGTAAGTCAGTGATCTTAAAAATCACTTCACATTGGCAATTCTTAGCCAAGGATATTTTGATCAGAACCTACAGATTTCCACTAACAGCACTGTAAACTCCACAGAAAGGAGTATTTCTTCCACATATAATTTGACACAAAGTCTCATCTCAAAACCATGCATTTCACGACAGTTAAGAAATATTTCAAAAATGGTTAAAACATCTCAACAACTTAAAATTTTTTTTCTGTTGTTTGAATGGTCCATGACAGTCTTCTTACCGAAACATAGAGACTTTGCCCTGTACAAACAGAAAAGTTACAACTATTTTCCATTTTAAATTCCTTAAGTCCATTTAACCTTCACAGCCTGTATACTAGCCTTTAAAATATGCCCAGCTCTGAGGCATATGAAGTCTGACTGGGTCTGAGTCCGAGTTTTTATAAAGTCTGGCTGCAGGGAGTAGCTTATAAAAACACCTAAGTTATTAACACTGGAGAAATCTATCCAAGGACATAGATGGAATAAGAAATCAGGTTAATTCACAGGATCACAAAATCATCTATGTTTTCACCAGGCACTGTCAAGGAGACAGAGCAATGAAAGAAATGTCCTGGTACCTGTGAGCAAACTGCACAACCCTGGCAAGCAGCACTGCACCTGAAGAATAAATGTCACATTTGAGTTTTTAGGATACTGAGGTGGCAGAAGTTGATATTCAAAGAAACTGTACAGACCTGCAGGAGAATGCACCAAAATGCTGCTGTGAGAAACACAAGCATCAAAATGATGCACAGATGCAGAGTAAGTGACATCCTGAAGCAGTGCTTTGAAAGTTTTTTCATTTTGCAGAAATAGTCCAGTGAAGGTGCGTCTATTGTAAATGTGAGTCGTCTGATAGGAACTGAAGTTACTACCTACCTGTCAAAAGTCCACTTAAATTAATCCAAGAATCTCAAGGACACAAGACCATAGATTGGAAATCAGAAATAAGAATCACACTACACAAACTGTTATTACTGAATCAGAATAGCTAAAAAACTTAAACACTATCTTTCAGACTGGATTCCTTAAAAACCTCACAATGCAGGATTTTGTGAGAGGAAAATTCATCAAGTCCAAACAGCTTTGACTAATTCTGTTAGTTCATTGATGCTAACAAGATTGGCACAAATCAGTTTTCATGATTAAACTCATGATTTGTAAGCACACACAGAGTATATATAAATTACTTTTTAATTAAAACTGTATGCAGCATTAATACTGTCTCACTAGAAATTCTAACTGGGGACACACTTTACTAGGTGTAATAATATTAAAAATGCAATCCAGATCGGAGAATTTACAATGAAGAAAGCAAGGAAATTACAATTGAAGGAAATTGAAATTAAAGCAGAAAATATATAAAACCATGTATCTTTTTATACACATTTTCTTATTTTTAATGACAATAGTTCAATGCTACCATATGCTCTTCAAAGTGACCAAGACTGGTAGGTTATTCTGGACACAGGTATTATTCTTGGATCAGATTACAGACATTTGACAATCCAGACCTTGTACACGCAAAAAAGACTTACAATGGCCTCTCCAAACAAAAATTTATCTTCTAAAGGCAACAACCACACCTCCCTGCCTGCTAAGTTGGAAGTAACGGTGATAAGTTCTTCAGGAAAGGTTAACTGGAGAAGAAAACAGCTCTCTCCAAAGATAACTCAGGAAAAGACTTCTTCATGGAAAAAGGTAAGAACACTGAAGAAGACAGCCAGTAATTGGTGAATAAAGTGAACAACTATCAAACAGTACTAAAATAATTATCAAAATACAAAAAGAATAGGGAGGGACAGAAGAGGGACTGTGAAGAGTATTTATTTTCTACCACAACTTGGTCCTCCCTAAAAGAGAAACAAAGTGACCAAGGTTTGCATGACTCTCCACCGACCAGCATGGTGATCTCTGCCAGAGCCTGTGATCTGCTTGTTCTCTATATACAAATACAGGTAGCTACAAGTCTGAGACAAAGAGCTGCCCAGCCCTTCTGGTAACTAAAAGCAGTCCACAGCCCCCATCACAGTTACCTCATTTTATTGGAAGATGCTTTCAGTAGATTCAAAGTAGACTCTTGATGGCAAGAAAGAGCAGGTAACTTATTTTCTAGCACCCAGACACTTTGCGGAAGCGATATCTATACATACCCTACCCTTGCAGTACTGAATCATCCCCTCAAAATGAAATTTTTTGGCCAGCCATGTCTGTTGACACAGCACGCTGACAAAAGCCTTGCTTGAAGATGAGCTATTCGACTAACAGGATGCGAAAGTGTCCCGTATCACATGAAAAACATGCAAGATAGGTGGAAATCAGACAGTGAATGGTGACTGTAGGAAATACAACTTTTCTAAGATTAAAATCCTAAATCAAATATTACTTCGTGCATACTCTACTATGGCACTTAAAAAATAAATATAACTTCTGCTTATAGTTTTTATATTACTAACACTTGCAAATAAAAAGACAGCTGTAGCCATATGACACACTTTTATACAACATCAGGTTGGTAAAATGTGCATTAAAAACACAAATACCATAGAACCAAAAGAAAATGTTGCTTCTGCAAATTGTGGCAAAAACACAAAACTGTAGGTGTCAGATATAACTTTTTATCTTCTCCAATAACACACACAAAGGAATTATTTCAGTAACAAGCAAAGCCAGATGATTTATATGAAGTACCTTCTCTATTATTATACAATTCATAATCATTTACATCCAACTGTATAATAAAACACAAGCTAGAAATAATCTAAAACATTCTTCCACTGCAGAATTAAGGTTGTCAAACACTAAAAGCTCAGTATATTCTGTGGCAAATTAAATTTTTAATTACGGTCTTTTGCTATAAATTATACACACTTTAAACATTCTCTTATATATCTGTTGTTCCACTAAATATTACACAAAGTCTGATTTGAAAAATATTAGTGATGTTTATGTGTAAAGAGAGCAAAGGGAAGTGAGTAGGGGAGAAAGAAAGACTATTTAAGACACACTGTTTTAAAAT